GTATGCCTATAAATGTACTGTGCTAAATTCCCTCTGCGTTGAAATGCCTGTGAACTGTTGTTCCACAATGCCTGCTGCATTTTAATGCCTTTCTCCCAAGGCAACATGATACAGAAGAAACAGCTAGAGTTTTACAGGCACACAAATCCTGGCCCACCACTAACCACTTGTGTTTCTTTGCTTCTCTGAACCTCAGTGTATGAGTTTGGGAAATGCCAACAACAACATTGTCCTTACAGATTTGACCAGAATTAGATGATTTGAGCATAGATACTGTCTGGGACACCACAGATGCTCCATAAAAGCTAGTTTACGTTCTCCAGACCATAGCAACAAAGAGAAAAGACTGTACGATGCTCAGACCGATGAGGAGACTCAGAAGTACTCCTACTGGAGGAATTATGAGCAAGGCAGAGTAAGTTCAGAAGGTTTTCACATATGATGGTTATTTATGACTATAGATAACTGCAAAGAAAAATGAAACCCATTACAAAATTAAGCTCTGTCAAGCTCTAAGAGGGACTCGATTAAAGATACCGCCTTTAAAAACAGAGACTATGTAATTGACTAAAAAAATCCCAAATAACATAAATGTCTTAATATATGGATTGAGTGAATTCAACATTCTAAAACCAGTACTGGTCACCTCTTATAGATATACAGTTATTTTTGTAAGAGTGGCCAGATACATCTGGGTGTGGTCAGGCACTGCTGTAATCCTTGTCTTGGTTCACAAACAGAGGATCCAAACTCTACTTCCCCAGTAAACAACAAGTGCAGAAAGCCTACCCTTCTAAGTAGTGATTTGGGTATAGTGTTTAATCCTTTAAAAGTCCTGAGGTACCTCAGAACTTGGTGTCAATTCTGAATATGTCAGGTAGAAGATTTCCCAGAATTCCTGCTACTATTTTCCGTAAAAGCAAGAAGATAGACCAGACAGCACCTAGACACCTTCAGGAGTCAAATCCTGTATACTAGCCTTAAATCCATGATGGTTTGTTGTTTGCTAGAGACCCAAGTCTCCACAATATACACAAGATGAAAGAATTCAATCACAAGTAGCTCCAGTCAACAGGAATGTTTGGAGTCAGTCCAACTTTCTTAGGCATTTATTAGCTGATAGACTTATCTTCATTTACAAGATCAGAATAATAAACATTATTTTTAAATATAATTTTCAAACTTTAAAGCGTTTCCCAAAGCTATTACATTAGAATTGTAAATAAAATCCATTCAAGTGTCCACCCTATAGCTTGATAGTGGTTTTCTGAAGTTCTTGCTTGAAAAGTATTCTGAGACTATGGTCCTTAAAAAAAAAAGAGTAGTGTAATTGACTAGTGAAGTGCACTCTGGGAAGATCACAGAAATAGATGTTTGCATCAATATATTTATGGTGTAAGTTGTTAACTATAATGGTTGATAACATTGCTATGAAATGTATAAATCTAGTATCAAACTGCTAAGTTTGTACAACTTCAACACAAAATAGAATAAGTTGATTGCTATGCTTATGACACTTTAATATATAACATTTTATTAGTTCAGTGAAAAACATGTATTATATACTGAGAAGCTCTGAAAACTGAAAACAAAATGTTGACTCCTAACATTAACATGTAAAATACTTGGAAAACTACACTGTTGTTACTAAAGGCAAAGAGAGGTTTAATAATGGAAGAAGTAAGACCAAGATGAAAGGTAGTCCCAGGTTGTGGGTAGAAGACCTGCATTCTATTCCAAATATTGTCTTAGAAAATTCACACTTGGGAGAAGACACAGTGCATTTTGCATGGAGACACTCCATGACTTTTCTCTTGTTTTTTACTGGGGCCAGATTTCTTTTCCAGGTAGTCATGCTCCTGTCCCCATCGGGGGACTTTTTTGAATCCTGAAAAGCTGCTTTTATATTCTTGCCCTACTGTCTTATTTGAGAATGGCAAGCTGATCAAACCCATATTTTTAAATTTATGTGTTTATAGGCATATGGAAGAACAGTTTATAGTCTGAATATGATTTTTTCCCACCACAAATGGAAGAATATTGTGATATTTGGTCCTTTTATAAAAACAGTACCGTACCAGTCCCTTTCTTTCCTTTTTCTGTTTCCCTTTATTACTGATGACTTCATTCTACTTGAATTCAATGCTTCAGTTTCTTTGGGGTAAACTAATAGATTATGTATGCAGTGTTTGCACCACGTTGATTGAACTCATCTGGTGAGTTTGAATGCTGCTCTCGCATCTCTGTAACCAGCAGAGACCTATGCATGGGGATCCAGCCACTGCAGTCCTCTTATATTACTATGGAGCCCAGGCAGCTTTCAGGGAATAGCGTGCTGCTCTCACCACAGGTGCTCCAGAAAAGCTTAGCAGTCCCTTGTTGTCTTTGGGGGGTTACCTTTTTAAATTAAAATAAAGGATAATTAGAACTATTTTTTCTGAATTTTAAAATATATACTGAAGGAATAAAGGTCTGTGCCCCCCCCCTGCTTAACTTACTCCTTTTTTAAAGATTTATTCTTATTATTTTCAATTGTGTGTGTGCATGTGTGTCTATATAGGGTGGGTGCATGTGAGTAGGGAGTGTATGGGTGCCCATAAAGGCCCAAGGTGGCAGATTCCATGGAGTTGGAGTTAATAGGCAGCTGTGAATCTCCTCACATAAGTGCTGGGAATCAAACTCTTTATAACTACTGAGCCATCTCTCCATCCTCAGGGTTTGCCTTTTCTTAATGAAAAGCATCATCTGTTGATCAATTGCCACCTCTAGTGTAGGCATGAAGCACATTTTGGCCAGTCATACTTACTGCCGAGAAGTCACAAAGCCAGCATGTGACCATGCTATCTACCACCTTGCCATCAAGTAGAAGACCTTGTCTTGCAAACATGTTTACCTAGCTTGAGTTTCATATACTTTCATTTGCTTTGACATAGCTCATTTTTAAATCAGGTAGCTGATTCAAGTGTAAAACTCAATAGTAATACCTGAGGACCTTGATGGCATGCAAGGTTTGTCACATCAGGCCCCTATACCTGACCAATAAATAGTCACTTGTTCCCCTTTCCACAATCCCTCCCAAAAAACTCATAAACTACAAAGTAATTCTTATTCAAGGCTCAGGTCATCAGCAATTACTCTTACTAACTGACATGAGGAAGGGAGTATTATCATCTGATGTGTGTAGGAGGCAGAACAAAGGCAGCCCAATTGCCCAAATGTACTGCCTGGAAAAGGAATCCCCAAAGCAAGACTCTCTCTCTCTCTCTCTCTCTCTCTCCCCCTCTCTCTCTCTCTCCCTCCCCCTGGAATTGCCTCCTCTCACCTGTCCAATTACGGAGTGTCTATGTATCCTATAAGTTTCACCAAGAGTGTTACCTCCTTTCACTATCACCTTCCATGGCCTGCTCTTACCCTGTCAAAATTTAAGCACTCATGCTCCCATAACCCCTGTGCAGATCCCTCTAGTGGCAGCAGTCTTCATTCCTCCAAGAATGTGATTTGTGTAGTCGTGGAGATGTTTCTCTCGAACCTGCCTGTTCCCAAATACCCAGCAGCCACTTCCCAAATAATTGGCTCAAGGCTTACTAGAAATTATAAATGCTCAGCCAATAGCTCGGGCTTATTACTAGCTAACTCTTACACTAAAATTAGCCCATATTTCTATTTATGCTTTGGCACGGGGTGGCACCTTTAATAGCATGGCACATTCATCTCCTGCTCCCTCTGTGTCTGGCTGGTGACTCTCAACTCTGCCCTTCTCCTTCCCATTATCCAGTTTGGTCACCCCACCCATACTTCCTGCCTGGCTACTAGCTAATCAACGTTTTATTATACTAATTTGAGTGACAAATCTTTACAGTATACCTAGGGATTATTCCACAGCAGATTCATCCAGAAAAAGAATATGAAATGTTCATCTTTATGTCTCCAGATCTTAATGTAAGGTCTAGCTCAATGGGACATTCAATATTTAAGTGAACCAGTGAGGTTCAATGGCAGGTCAGACCTGCATACCTTTTTTGTCTTGCCTCCCCAGACTGGATTATAAAACATAAGCATAATCCTGGTTCTGATAAAATAATCATAACCAATCAACCCAAACTAAAAAGGGGCCACTAGCTGCCCAAGGTGGCACTGAGCAAACTGTTAAGTCTTAGGCAGAATCAGTGGCTAACACAGAGAGACATGGCCCTTTGGGTAAGGAGCACACTAGAACATTGAGCTGCCTTTCCCTTATTGCCATACGTTCACCGTTCACCTTCTTTCTTTACCTATGGTCTATCTTTACTCATACATTGACCTATATCCTGCTGTCACCCTGTCCCTAGCACACACGTGCACACACACACACACACACACACCCACGCACACACACACACACACACACACCCACGCACACACACACACACACACACACCCACGCACACACACACACACACACACACCCACGCACACACACACACACACACACACCCACGCACACACACACACACACACACACACACACACACACACACTCCAAAACTTCTTGCCTTTCACTGAAAGGAATGCTGGTGCATGTCAGCCAATCATTTGTCACATCCAACCTATGGGTCAAGCAACTGGGATTTGATCTCAAATTAGCAGTGACATCTGAAAGAAAGAGATACCCGTATTAAAATTTAACCAAACATTGTATGTATTATCGTAAGAAGAAAGTAGTGAGTTTTTTAATTGCTCTAGAGGGTTAAGACATTACCTTACCTTCTCATTCCCAAAGCATTTATTAATCCCAAATCAGATGACTTGACCCTTGGAGTTAAATGTGTGTGTGTGTGTGTGTGTGTGTGTGTGTGTGTGTGTGTAATGTTCCTTCTTCGTTCATTTTAATTACTGATTTCACCATTTTCCTCATTTAAATTACATTGTCAAGTCTTTCAAATTTCATTGTCAGGCCCTTTAACAGGGAGAAAAAAAGGGGATCTCTGAGGCTAACATGTACTATGTGACCATGTCTATTCATGTGCTACAGTGGCCGTCCCGTGGGTGGAAACAGTGACCGCATCCAGAAGCTTCGGAAGGAGTATTATCAGGCTCGAAGAGAAGGGTTCCCTTTGTATGAAGATGAAGAGGGACACACACGGCCATCTGACCATGACCTCCGCTGGGTAAGCCCATGTCTGATTCCAATCATAAATTCCTCTCTACCAAATTAATTCAGAGCAGAATTACACACTCAGGTCAAGAAAGTTTTATGCATATCGGGTTACATTCAGGTTTGTTGAGTTTTATAGATATGAACATTACCCAGACCACAGTCCTCTTCTCCCACAGAAGTTATTTATATAAATCAAACCACAGAACTGTACTTGTTCATTCTATCTGCTCTTACATTTTACTTCCTGTTGGGCACCCCACTGGTCTGGGGCAAGCAGGTCAGTTACTTTAAAGAGGACAAGGAATGTTTGTGTGCCTTAATCCTTCCATTCCTTCTCTTAGACCTTAAAGGTGAGTTATTAGGAGTAAATTTCAGAGTGTTGTTGTCAAAAGATACAGTTTATTTGTATATGAGATCTGAGCAATTTATGTTCCCCAAACTTTACCAGGATAATAGGATGGTGTGTTTTGAGACAAGGGAAGTTTTTGCAGGAGGATTCACTGTGCTAATTCTTTCAACATTCAAGGAACAAAAGAGAATGCTGGCACTAAAGGGAGACTCTGATTTTTCTGGGTAGCACTTCCCCTGTCTTTTATCTACCTATAATATACACTCAACTCATGAGCACCCGCAAAAATGCCCAGGGGCCAAGCTTAGAATTAGATGGTAATAACTTTTGAGCTACAGTGCCTAACTTATAGCTGGCACTCAATACATATCATTATAAGTATTAGCACTTGGTACTGTTATTGAAGCAGAGCTAAGTGTATTCATTGTAATGTCTTGGCTGTTACCCATCCTTATGTCCTCTTCGATGACTGGGGCCTTCTGGTCTACCATCTCCTTGGAAAGCCAAGCATGTTTATGAGAGTTTCCTGCTCTGGGTTTCACACATATTTCTTCTCACAAGATCAAGGTATGGAGAATATAGCTAATTCCCTTCAGTTTCACATCTGCCTCCTATAAGGTCATGAATGACATGTGGGCCAAATGTTAGTTTCAGCATCTCCCACTGATGTGCAGAACAATGGCAACTCCTCAGGCCAGAAGATTCCTTTTCATAAAATGCAATTTAAAAACACTTGTGGATCCAGAGAATGTGGCACACACCTGTCATCCCAGCCCTGGGAAGTCCAAAGTAGGAGGATCAGGAGTTCAAGGCTAGCCTCATTTACATGGTAAGATTGAGGTGCATGAGATCCAACAACAAAACAAAAAACAATGAAATATATAAGTACATATTAAAAGAAGTACATTGTGCATATTGGTGACCCAAACCCAAAGATGTCAGCCTCTTTGGAGAAAAGCATGTCAGACTATGTATCAGAATCAATAACTATTTATGTTTTAATTCTAGATGTTAGAATTAAACAGAATAATACTTATAATGGTAGGACAATGTGTCTCTTAGATTCTCCATAGTAGAAAAGAAAAATTTCTATGGGATAACAGATGCAGTAATAATTCACTCTGTCTCAAACTTGATCCCGATTGATTTACTGCCTTAGACAAGAGATGAGAGGCACTTGTTAGGCAAAGCTCAGTCTCCCTTAGCAAACAAAAAGCAGTGATAGAGTGATTGCCACTAACCCAGGAACAGGACACCATGTCCAATGCATTGAAAAGCATTTATGAATTCCTATGAGCAGAATAAGAAAGTGATTTCAGAATGACTAGCTCTTGTTATTTTGGCTTTATTTAAAGATTCTTTATTTTGAGCTAAGAGGATGAAGATGCTAAGCCTGGAAGAGACTAAACATACCTGTGAAGCTCACCAAACCTGAGCTGGAGGCTGGTCCCTTGGGAGCTCCCATTTCTAATGATTCTCTTTATACCAAGCAAACTTGTAACCAAACAGCTTAGTGACTGAAGGAGTATCTATTTTAATTTGTGTTTCCCATGCTCTGGTGTATTGAGCTTTGCCAAATGTGACTGATTTTATGTTTCCCAGACAATTTGAGTCGAAGGCATCCCAAAGGGATGCTGGGAACTGTACTGTCATAAAAGACAAGTGTTCTCTGTGATAGCCTGAGATATTCCAAACTGGGGATTAGAATCTCAGCACCCTTTCTACTCCTTTCCCTATGCCAAAGAAAAACACTGGTACCTTTTGTCTAGGGGAGGCCTGAGAAATTACACCTCTCTCTTGCTATATTTGGAAAGATCTAGGAGAGAAAGTTTAGAAAGTTAACATTTCATTCCTGCCTCTCAGCCTGACCCCACAAAGCATCATTCATGAAACTGTAATGTCTCCAATAGGCTGGTCCTCAGCACCATGAGAGTTCTTGTTAAGGTCAAATCAAGAGGTGGGAAAGGAGAGCTACACCTAGCAATCTGTAATTCTCCAGGTACGCAACAAGGAATCTGCGATTCCAACTCAATAATAGAAACTGAGCATCGGTTCCTTCAACATCTTTGTTCCTTCAACAAACATGTAAACATGTTTGTTTACAAAGTCCTCATCATCATCATCAAAAAATATTTCACAGACTTTGAGATGAACCAGTATAGTACCACACTCAGGTCAAGAGGCCTAAAGAATGTTCCCCACAACCATCTATTCCAGAAAACTTCTGAGCTGTAAAGAGAGAAAGTAAGAAGATAAATTATCATGCAACTATATCCTCCCTTGCTATCCTCAGGACCACTCTGCAGACAACAAACCTACAGATGCTCTAGTCCTCTATTTAAAATGCAAAGGATTTTTATAGAACCTGTAGGCTTTCTCTTATATACTTTGAAGCATCTCCATACTGTTGATAATACCTAATGCAGTGTCAATGTTATGTAGATAGTTTTTAATTTCTATAACTTAGAGAATAATTTCTATAATTTAGAAAATTGTATAAATGTGTTCAGTAATATGCATTATGTGTGTACACATATCTGTGTGCTTATGTTTGTGGGTAAACAAGTGTACAGGTATATATATATATATATATATATGTGTGTGTGTGTGTGTGTGTGTGTGTGTGTGTAATCAAACTTTCTTTGGTCCACCAGCTCCCAAAAAATGACATGGAGACTTCTTACTAATTAGGAAAGCTTGGCCTTAGCTTGGGCTTGTTTCTAACTAGTTCTTATAACTTAAATCACCCACTTATATTAATCTACATTCTGCCATATAGCTTGTTACCTCTCCTCCAAACTGTATATTCAAGTTCCTCCTTGTCTCACTGGCAAAAACTCTGCCTTTCAGATTCTGCCTGGAGTTCCTATCTCTGCCTTGAAGTCCCACCTATCTTCTCCTGCCTAGCTATTGGCCACTTAACTCTTCATTAAACCAATCAGAAGGTGCCTTTCACACAGTGTGATCAAATATCCTGCAGCACATGTGTGTGCGTATGTATGGAGTCCAGACATGAATCACAGGTGTCAGGTTCTGTTCTGTTCATCATTTTGTTTTGTTTTGTTTTCTTTTATTTTATTTTATTTTGTTTGGGGGATAGGATCTCTCACTGGCATTGGATCACTTGGGCTAGGATGGCTGACAAATGAACCCTAAAGATTTCAACAGTCTCTGACTGCCCAGCACTGTGATTATAAGCATGTTCCACCATGCCTGGCATTTTTTAAAAATGAAGGTTCTAGAACTACAGCATGGGTTCTCGTGTAAGCCAGGTACTTTACTAACAGAGAGATCACCACAGCTATCCAGATGCATAAAAACAAACTTTTTTCAGTGTTTGGTTGACTCTATAGCTGCAGATGTCCACCTGTACTCTCAAACTACATTAAAGATAGCCCAAAGAAAAAGAAAGTATATGCACAAAAGTCTTTAAACCTAAAATGATGAAAATGTTTGCTGAAGAGATTATTGAATGGATATTTTAAAGTATTTGTCTCAATGGGACTGACATTTTTTTCTTCGATACAATACACACTCAGTGGCTTGAACCTAAGGCATCTCTCACAATTTCTTTTCTTTGCATTTCCTTTCTATTTTCTCCATATCCTGTTCAATTTTAACAAATATTTATTTCCTCAATCTCAATTTCAATAAATATCCATTTGCTCAGCCTCAGTGGAGGCCAGTCATTGGCAGCAAGAATACAGTATTATGTCCACTTTAGAGAGACTTGCAATCTGGCTAAGGAATATGTATCTTAGCCAATACTCCATAGGACAATAGCATATGTGGCAAATGCTGTAACTAACTCCTACATGGACTCAGAGAGGGTAACTGAAGTCAGTCCCAGACAAGGTACTGTGGAAGCTATTTAGGCAATTTGGGATTTGTTTCAGCCAACACATGTTGTTGTTGTTGTTGTTGCTGTTGTTATCATCATCATCATTATTCTCTCATGTCAGTGATTTATTTTTTCCTCTCCAAACCAAAATAGTATAATAATAATAATAATAATAATAATAATAATAATAATAATAATAACCTGCCTGATTTACTCACTTCATTTATTTTAAACCATGTGAGCACCCAAAGATTGTAAGGTTTGTAAATATGGGCCTGAGACTGAAAAACCCTTTTCATCTGCCTTCTTTGTAGCTGTTTTCCCGTCCAGGCTCTGAAAAGCTATAAAGAATTGGTCTAGAGAATTTCAATGGCTCTGAATGAAATGGCCTGGTGGGTTTTTATAGGCCCAATTAAGTAAGCAAGGCATTCTAGCTGTGAAGTGTTAACATTTGCCAAAAGAAAACATGATACCTGCTATCTGCTGATATTTTTATTTTCTGTAAAACTTGTTAAGACTGTCACCGTCCTCTGGCAACAGGCTGCCTTTTTTATTAGCAGATAAAGATTATCTGCTTATTTAATAGCAGCATGAATATCCTGTAAGTAATTTCGGAAATGGGATGACTCTCAGGTTGTCTGCAACTCTCCATACCTTTATTATCACCTTCTTCATGAGCTTTATAGTGTGTGTTATTATTCCTCTCTCCTCCTTTTGAAATTCTTGGCTAAATTAGGAGAATGTTTACCTATAAAAGAGTTTATAGGCTTTTGGATGGGAAGAGAGACTAAGTATGTGTGTATAAGGGAAAGATAGTAGT